AAATATGAGACCACCTACAAAAGAATATGTAAACAAATAAGGAAATTTGTAAGGTTAAATAAAATAATTAAATAAATAAAAATATAAAAGATTTAAATCTTTTTTTATTGATAGTTTATGTCCAAAAGTAGTTAGCTACAAGTTAGTTGACATTTATTTTGTGGCCATCGACCTTCAAAAGTAGTTAGTTACGGTCAAAGGAAATAGTTAATAAATAGTTACCACTAGTCGACTACTAGTTAGTTAATAGTTAGCTACAAACTAGTCCCATTTCCTGCAGGGTTGGTAACCTACTACATATACTGCGGTGCCGATGCACTTGGCAAATAATCGTATTTTGTGAAAGCATAATAACTTAACACGCAGTAAGACATTTAGAAGACAGGAACTAAATTAATAAAAAATAATTTTTTTTTAATCAAGGAAAGAAAGCGATTATATGTATTTAGGTAATTTTTTGTCCGCTCATTCCGAATATATCCTTGTGTTTCCAATTGTTTTTGATAAATATATTGTAGCATAGGGTCCTTTCTAAATATTCTTGTCAAATATGTATCAATTTAAGGTGAAATCGTAAAATTACGAAAATGCCTGATGTACCCATACATTTTTTTTTCACTGATAATTTCGAATAAATATGCAAATTTAGAAATAGTTCTCAAAGCCAATTAGAAAAACCTAGGTTGTAGATATTTTTCACAAAATGCTAGTTTTAAGTGTTTAAGAATTCGCGTTGATTTGTGATAATTTTTTTGCCGCTGGTGTTATTATTTTCTCCCATAAAAAAAAAAAAAATGGCCGAAAATAATTTGTATGGAAGAAAATGCGTGACATCGTCAGCCAAAAAAAAATATCAAAAATCAATCCGAATTTTTAACCACTTAAAGCTTGCGCTTTATTGAGTTAGAATTTAATGGGCTATAAAACTTTTTTACTAAAAATTTAGATGCAGATGGATTATGTTAGATAAAATGCTGCATTTGAAACATAAAACAAACAAAAGAAAAATAGTCAAAACTGGTCAAAATATCTTGTCTCGTATCGGTCTTATTTTTCAAATGACTTAATGTATATAGTTCCTATAAATAGTTAGCTCTCTAACAGTTACTTAACGGAAATTGGCGGTTTTCCCTTTGTAAAAGTTGTTTAAATGATTTCACATAGGTCGCGTTACTGTTTAATTATTCCAAGGCTGCATTTAAATGGTGTGTTTAAGTGACTCAGGAAGTGATCTCAATTCACCAGTCATACTGAGAAGAACGCCAACTATAAAGAGATTTTATGGGGAGCAACAGCCACAACTGGAATGCCTGATGAGAGTTTAATGCGATGATGATAATAAACATACTTAATATAATACAAATATTAATTTTATAATAAAAATTTTAACAAATTGTTTTTCGTGATTGGGATAAAGAAAAAAATATTTGTGCGTTCACACGATTGGGATACGATTTGCACCAAATTTTTAGGCAATCGTGTGACACTGGCTTTACAATCACAGCGAATTAAAACTAATAATAGCGGAGTTTTAAAATAAAATTTACTTTATTTATATCATTTATTTAGCCTTACACGATATGGATAACTCTCATGCCATTGTTAAGTTGTCTATGCATGATTAACGGAGATTCTGACACTGAAGCCGATATTGATGAAACAGACAGTGAAATGATGAAATATGCGCCAGAATATGTGAGTTTAAATAACTGATTAATAATCATTTAATTTTCTTACTTAAATATTTAATTTGACTAATGAAAATTTTTTTGAATACATATAAATTATATTATTTTATTTTAGTCTATGTCTTGCAAGTCTCTTCAAAACATTTTACTTAGAGTAGCTTTTAGACGAATAAAGTGTGTCAAACGACGTTGAAGTGCACATTTTTTTTTGCTTAACAGTTCAGTAGCATGCATTTGAATTAGTCTTTGTCATCTGTCCTACGCGGGTTACGCACTCAAAGGTAGTACTGTTGTCAAAATTCAGTGACAGTAACTCTGGAATGTCAATCTTTCATAAATCACGCCCACTGTGAGCGTAAAATGATTTATGATTTTATCTGTCAAGTAAACTAGACAAAACTCTGAGACAGCTGACAAGCCCACATGTCTAAATAAAATTAATAATGAGAAAATATGACAGCAAGTTACTATGCACTTATGTACGGACATAAAAAATACAAAAAAGACTGGAGTCCGCTAAAAAGTATAAAAGTGTCACTCTTATAAATTTACACCATTTACAAGTAAATCGAATCAGATAATTGGATTTAAGATAGCTCAGTTTTACGTCTCTCAGCAAAACGCTGCCAACAGCCTCATACCTAATCCCTGCAAAGGCGGTACAAAATTGCTCCGCCACCTCAACCCTGCTCAAAGAAAGCAAATACTTAGCTAGACTGAGATCGCCGATAACCGGCATACTCATATAGACGTACAGTAATTTCTTAGCGAAATATTCACCCACTTCCAGGCAGTGGTTTCTATGGCCGGAAGTGTGGGTATTATATTAGTTGCGGAATACCCGGTCTGAACTCTTTCTAGCCAAATGGTCAGAAGTCTCATTACCAGGTGGGCGCAATCCCGGTGAACTCCGCGTGTCATATATTTACCTGAGTCCTAATGATCCGCTGCCTGTTGCTAATAAGCCTAAAGCTTTTCTGCCCAATCTTTACAATAAATCCGATGTAAACTAGTCTCGATAGTTGTGGTATGTGTTTAAGTAAGTGCAAACAATTTTCTCCCTACTCCCTTCCGACCGCCACATCAAGCTAACTTCTACCTGATTTTCAGGGATAGACAGACAGATAGATAATAGTAGATAGTATGCATTGCGATCAGTAGGTCTATCGTGCCCTCAACTCACCACAACACTACATCTAGCCCTAAAGACTATTTGATTTTCAGAAGAGATAGCTTGGCCAACCCCCTAGCTTGTGCAAGTGCCCTCTTTATGAGTGACCTGTACCTCTTTAGGTTATAACCCTTAATAAGCTCTTAGCTTATCGAAGACCCATGGTTTTTCGCCAATGCAGTGCCCTCAGTTTGGTATTTTCTTTTCGGCTTTTGATTAAGCCCAGCTTAATGTTCTGAGTTTTTGAAGGACTTTTCCCAGCCTATCTGTTGGACTTAAGTATAAGTAGCGCAGCAGCGTTCTTCGAAGAATCAATCCTGACCTTCTAAAGCACCTTATTCAACCAGAGAACAGGACAAGAGAAAATTGTGAGAGGTAGTAAGTGACAAAACCACCAGAATACTTCCCTTGCAACTTCCACCAGTTTCCGTGCCTCTGCATGCCAAAAGTGACCACTAGGTTCCGTGGATGTGACCTCTGGGGACTATGGTCACTTTGGAAATGCTGCAGCAATTTCGCCGCCTGCTTCCGACTCCTTTAACTTCTCTTCTGATAAATCATTAAAGGGTCGATGACAAACAACTGGTTCCCAACTCATGCCTATTGTAAGTGGCTACTGCTCTGAAGAATAGTGAAGAGGCAAGACTACTTCGCTTCAGTATGCGGTCGCTTCGGCCTTTTACGACAAGCTTGTCTTTCGGCGGGTGCCTTCTAAACCTCTACCCCGCAGGTTTAGCCTAGTTGCTTTAACTGTAAAACTTGTCCCCACTTTTCAAGATGTACTACAACTACAACTACGCTCTATATTTTTGCAGCAGCTTACTAATTAGTTATTTTCTTTTATTTTTTCAGCAACATCCAGAATATGCATTCAGTTATGGCGTCAAAGATCTGCACACTGGAGATGTCAAATCCCAGTGGGAGTCACGCGACGGCGATACTATAAAGGGACACTATAGCATTCTCGAGCCAGATGGCTCGATACGTACAGTTCACTACACTGCCGATGCTAAGCATGGCTTCAATGCTGTGGTGAAGACCGTCGGCGCCAATTCACATCCCGTCACCGAATCGCCGCACAGTGAAAATGGCATCAACGACGACACATCGCAATCCAAAATCAATCACTACAGCAAAGATCAGGAGCACATAGTGCTGAGCTCAGACATTAAACCGCTCAAAAATCCAATTGAAGATCTAACGCACGCCCACCCGAAAATTCCCAGCCTCATTGAGTTCAAACCGCATGCGCGCATAAAGCAAGTGCCAATGGAACTGGAACCGGGTATGCGTGAACGGCTGCAGACCGCACGTGATGAGTATTATCAAAAGCAAAATTTCAAGAAAGTGCCACAACCTGTAACAGATTCGTACAGTAATCAGGAGAATGAATGGAAAGCGCTTGTATTGGATCAAAATTCCGAATATCAGCCGATATATGGTGTCCATATAAATAGTTATAAAAGCGCAGACAATTACATTCCAACAAAACAATCCATTGCAAATATAGCTCAGAATGCTCTGAATAACGGTGGTGGGCTGCGTAATGAATTTATTGCATCAGCGCCGCTGCATCAACGCAATCATGGCTCCTACATCGATCCTAGTATAAATAATATACCGCCTGGCAAGAAGTACAGCTTCACCACACCTACCTACAAGCACCACTCAGCACCACCGCCACAATACAAATATCAGACGAATTTCAAAGCGTCTGCACCACAAAATCGTCCAGACTACATCAATTACTTTCAGCGCAAAACAAAGAAATTCAATCACAAGGATGCGCCGGGTCCAGTAGTTTTT